TATATATATATATATATATATTTTAAAGTTTGCAATTATTTAAGTTTTGGATGTTATTCCTTAAATATTTTGTGATATACAAAATCATCTGATTTTTCATGGGCAAAAGAAAACTTTTTTAAATATAAACCGTTTGAAAAAAAAAATAATAAATAAAAATCCATTACATATAAAACCCCCGCAGTTTTATTATAACCAAATCTAAATCTACTAAAGCCATCGATGCAGTTTAAGCATTTAGTGACATTTACATTTACAATTTCATCCTAATCAATGCATACACCAAGTTTTTTCATCTTAATTGTCGTTCAATCCACATGTAGTTCCAATAAGTCAAAAGAGAATGAAGGTACCAACAATTAAACACCGAACCTGAAAAAAACATCAAAAATAAATTTTTAGTATATAGCTTGCAAGTAGGGTGATCTAATAAACAAGTCAATGAAACTATATTGTTATTTTTTTCTTTTTCTTTTGACAGGAAAAATGTATAAATGAATAAATAGAAAAGAAATTTTATTTATCTATTTTATTGTACATTTGAACTATAATGCATTAATTAAAAAAAATGTATAAATAGAAAATAAAAAAAGTTTTTTAAGCAGTCAAAAAAGAACACTCGAGTTTCTTTAAAAAAATTTAAAAATGATATAGATGAAGGGGTTATGGACCAAACAACACATGTTCAAAAGGATCTCATGAAGTAATATAGCACTTTAATAAGATTGGAAGGGTCATAAGAATAAAAATTCATTTGAATCTTGTTGGTGATTTTAGTGTCACCATGTCATTTTAAGTAACCGGAACTAACATGTGAGCTAATGGGCTTCATAATTTGTACTCTACTATATGTACGGGATTTGTGCGGAGTGCACCCATGTATAAGATCGAATTAGAAGCCGGTTCGACGACTAATCGGGGGTCCGGGGTTTCCAAAGGGGCAGCGCCCCTTTGGCGGGGTCTAGGGGCAGCGCCCCTAGCGAGGTCTAAGGGGCAGAGCCCCTAGCTGGGGTCCCGCTGACCTGGTAAAACTAACGAAATTCAATTTCTTGAGGGTGTTTATGGTAAAACTAACGAAACTCGTTAGTTTTGGTAACCCTAAATCCTCATTAAATCTGGATTAACATTACTTGCTTCCAAAGCAACTAATGACAGCCCAACCTAAAAAGACTGTAATATCGTTTATTATATAAACAGCTCTTCTTTTCAGAAGAGGGGGACGATCTTAAGCTCTCGTTTTTCATCATACTTTCACAGAATCCTCTAGCATTTTGGCTTACGATTTCTGTGCCTAGAATCGTAAGTGTCCACTTGGATTATCCTAGGCTGAATTTCTTGTAACCCAGGCATAGGGTAGAAATATCAGTTCGGAAAGTGACATCACTATCCAAGTCGGTATCCAGATCTCCACCACAAACCCTAAATTCCCAATAATCGAACTCATATTTTCTGTTCCTGGAGATGGGTGACTCAATCCGCGAGATGACTACCAAGTTTGCCAAACTGGAGAAGTTCAAAGGTGTCGACTTCAAGCGTTGGAAGAAGAAGATGCACTTCATGCTGACTACTCTAAAAGCAGCATACGTGCTGACTACTCCAAGACCAGCAGAGCCTGCAGAAGGTGTTGTTGAGACGGATGAAGAGACAAGAAAGAGACAGAAGTGGGACAATGATGACTACATCTGCAAAGGTCACATTATGAACGGTATGTCTGATGCATTATTTGATATCCATAGTGAAGCCTTGTGTGCCAAGGAGTTGTGGGACACCCTTGAACTGAAATACATTACTGAGGATGCTTCTAGCAAGAAGTTTTTTGGTCAGTGACTTTAATAATTATAAGATGGAAGATTCAAGGTCTGTCACTGAACAGTACAATGAACTCCTTGGCATATACGGTCAGTTTAAACTGCACCGTATGAATATGGATGAATCCATTGTTGTGTCCACTATCATTGACAAACTGCCTGAAATAGGTCACAGAGCTTAAATGTGGAGGTTTGGTAATTGGATGCACATTTGATCATCGAATAGCTGATGCGTACTCGATAAACATGTTCTTTATTGCATGGGATGAACTTGCTCAATCGAAAACAAATTCTTGTGTTCCATCTTTTAGACGTTCAGTTCTTAACCCGAGACGCCCACCAGTCATGAACACCTTCGACAACACCCTATTTGTTCCTTTATCGTCCATCCCCCCACTAAGGTCTTATTTTCCAGCTGATCCTCTCATAAGTCGCATATACTACATCCATCAAAAAGATATAAATCACCACCTTCAATCGATTTCAAGTTTCAATGGAAACCCTAAAAGAACCAAGCTTGTATCGTTTATTGCCTTTCTATGGAAGATAATAGCAGAGTCTGATGATGACTTTACCACATGCAAGATGGGCGTTGTAGTTAATGGGAGAGAAAGGTTAAATAAGGTGAACTTTGAAAAACTATCTATGTTTTATAGTGATACTAACTCTTTTTCGATGAAAAACTACTTTGGAAATGTGCTTTCTATCCCTTATAGTGAGGCGAAGTCTGGGGAGCTTAAGGAAATGCCACTCAGTCGAGTCGCTGACATGGTCCATGAGTTTATGAGTCCGGCAATGAATGAGGAACACTTTAGGGGACTAATTGATATGGTTGAGTTGCATCGACCTGAGCCACTAGTTGCAAGGATATACACTAAAATGGAAGAGAATGATGGTGAAGGCTTAGTCGTGTCATCTGGTCAACGGTTTCCTGTGGAAAACATTTATTTTGGATGGGGTAAGCCAAATTTTGGGTCGTATTAGTTTCCATGGGATGGGCAAACTGGATATGTAATGCCGATGCCAAGTGCAAGGAAGAATGGAGATTGGATAGTTTATATGCATTTACCTCAAAAGCATTTAGACTTGGTGGAAACCAAAGGAAGAAAGGTTTTCAAACCGTTAACTCCATTATACCTCGATTTGTGATGATCATCCAATAAGCTCTTAAGCCATAGAAAATGTATTTTCCGAATAAAATATATGTAATCGCAATTATCTTTTCATAGAAAAAGAAGGAACATTATTTAATCTAATTACCATAATTTATGTGAATTTGAAAAAAAATAACCAAAAAATTTGTTTTTAGCAAAAATAACCACTTAGTCCGGAACGAGCATTCCGCAAGAAAAAAACTTTTTTTTCCGCGAAAAAAGTATATTTCGGACTGATATTCCGAATTTCGGACTTAGATTTCGGATTTCGAAATAAAAAACTCTTCAGTTTCAAAAACGAGTTTAAAATCCGATTAACTTCGATAAAAACAATGTTGTTTTTTATTGTAAATCTAACAAAAAAAATAAACAGACATAGTAAATATATATAATATATACAATATTAGTTAATATTAATATCAAACATTTTATTTAATAACGGTGACATTAAACATAAATTGACATTTTGGACATAATTGAGATATTTCTTTCAAAAAACAAAAAACAAAAAATAACTCTGGAATTTAAAGATCAAACTCAGGATTGAGCATTCTTTGAAAAAAAAAGATTCTGGAGTTTTAATAATAATCCGGAATGAAACATTTGGGAGAAAATGACTATTTTTCAAAAACTGAAAAAAATGTTTTTTTTTTCTTTCAAAAACTCATTTATATATTAGCTTACTTAATATTTCGAAAAAGAAACACACACACCACACACACACACACACACTATATAATATATATATAATATATATATATATATATATATATTATATATATATATATATATATAATATATATATAGATATATAGGGAATGGTATTGGAAAACTAAAAAACCCTAAAAATGCATAAAAATGCATAAAAAAAATACTTAGAGATTACAAAACGTTTTTTTTTAATTTTTTTATAGAAAAATCGCAGCTTTTAGTATAAAATCGCTGAAAAAAAATAAAAAATCAATTTTTTTTTTATAAATAAAATTGGTTTTTTTTCAAAAAAATTTTTAGCGATTTTATACTAAAAGTTGCGATTTTTTCATAAAAAAATTCAAACAAAAAAGTTTTGTGATCTTTAAGTATTTTTTTTAGGCATTTTTTTATTTTTTCAGGTTTTTTTTAGGGTTTTTTGTTTCCATAGAACCTAACCTATATATAATATATATATATATATATATATAATATATATATATAATATATATATATATATATATATATATATATATTATATATATATATATATATATATATATATATATATATATATATATATATAAAGGAAGCATTTTCCTTTCACCACATTCATTGAAAACTCTCATGACTTTTCATTTCTTTCTAATAATAATTATAAGTGGTTAATAAGGTTAAATAAATATCAAACCTAAAGTGTAATCATATATAAACTAAATTTCAATATTAAAATAATATCTTTACTTCTACTTATAAAGTTATGTTTTTTTAATTTGTAACATATTATAATTAATTTATTAGTTTTAATATATTCTTGGATGTAAACCATTATCATTTTAAAGATACAATTTTGGAACAATTTGTATAAAATACTTAAATTATTAATTTGAATATAACATTACAGATTCAACTTAAATATAAATTTTAGTTTAAGTTAAACAACGCAAATAATATTTTGTAAATAGTTAAAAATGATTAATCGTAGTCTCTTTATAATAATGATTATAAGTTGGTTAATAAGGTTAAATAAATATCAAACCTAAAGTGTAATCATAAATATACTAAATTTCAATTTTAAAATAGTATATTTACTTCTACTTATAAAGTTATGTCTTTAACTTTTAAAATATTAGATTTAATATGTTGGTGTATGTAAACCATTATCAGTTTAAAGCTACAACTTTTGAACAGTTTGGACAAAATACTTAAATTGTTAATTTAAATATAACATTACAATGTCAACTTAAATATAAATTTCAGTTCCACTTAAAAAACCAAAGAATATTTTGTAAATAGTTAAAAGTGATCAATTGTAGTGATAAATGCAAAAAGTAAATTGTAATCTCAATTTAACTAAAATATTTCCTAAAGATATTTTTATAATCTTTAATAGTTTTCAAATAAGTAGCTTAAAATAATTTACAATAAAAATAGTTTAAAATAAATCTATATAAATGATTAAATTGTTACCTTTAAAATCAAAAAACAATGTTTGATGTTTTAAATAATTATAATGACAGAAATTAAAATATTAAGCAAATCAATTCTAAAAAATTTATTAACAATAACAAAAACTATAAATAACATTAAATCATATATTATATTTAATTTTATAGGTGTGTATCTCGCGGGTAGAAGTCATTCAAACGATTGAGATTATGCATTTATAATAGATGTATATATTATCATATAATTCAAAATAATCAATATATTATATCAATTTAGTATACGAATTATTATATCAAATTTAACAACAACGTTATTGCTATATTTAAAAAAACATATATTTGTAAAGACTTCAACTATATATGTGTTTCTGTGCAACGCATGGGCATTCGTCTAGTGTGTGTGTGTGTGTGTGTGTGTGTGTGTGTGTGTATATATATATAATATAATATATATATATATATATATATATATATATATATATATACTAGTAGCGTACCCGCGTAATGCGGCGGCGGCAATTAGTTTCATTGCGGTTAATGGTTTCCTTTTTTCCTACAACAGATAGTTACGTTTATTGAGTGGGTATTATTTATCTTGTAAATTGTCATATTCAAATTAACATGTTATTAGTTTTCGGCAGGTTATTTTAAGGTTAAACATAATGTACATTAATGTTTTTTTGTTAAAAACATATATATTTTATTTGTATATTATATTTTTAATTTGTTTTTTTTATTTTTTATTTTTATTCTTAAGTTTAATGACATAAGATATTATAATTTAAATTAACATTAAGTATAATTATTTTCTTTTAGGATGATTAATTATTACCTAAAACGTTTAGTTTGCATTTGATTTTGTTTATATATTTTATATTGGTAAACAATGTTATCAATTTAATACCACATAAAAAATCATAAATAAATGTACTAAGTATTAAGAGCGTCAATGAATGATCCAACAAAATTAACCACTTAAGACATCAAAATGAATGGCAAATTTTTTAATATTGAAGAAAAGATCAAGGATATTTTTGGTTCACAGGCCCCATAGGAATATAAGGGAATTAGAATGGATATTTCGTTATTTTATTATTTTGGCTATCAAATAAGTTGACTTGGATTCTATCAAGTCTTTATGTGGTAATTTTTGGGGTAGGGGTGGTAAATAATTAAAATTCCATTATTCTTTTTTACTAAAAATACAAAATTATTTTTGAAACCTCACTTTATTAAAAACTACGAAAGACCATAGACATCCATTTCACCTACAATTGATATTGATGAAGATCGCCAAGATTTATTGCCCGATTTGATTTTCTTCTAATGGCATCACAATTAAAAATATATATATTTTTTAAAGTTTGCAATTATTCAAGTTTTGGATGTTATTCCTTAAATATTTTGTGATATACAAAATCATCTGATTTTTCATGGGCAAAAGAAAACTTTTTTAAATGTAAACCGTTTGAAAAAAAAATAATAAATAAATAAAAATCCATTACATATAAAACCCCCACAGTTTTATTATAACCAAATCTAAATCTACTAAAGCCATCGATGCAGTTTAAGCATTTAGTGACATTTACATTTACAATTTCATCCTAATCAATGCATACACCAAGTTTTTTCATCTTAATTGTCGTTCAATCCACATGTAGTTCCAACTAGGAAAGTTTCCCCCCGCGTTGCGGGGGTTAGAATGTATTCCGTTGTAAAAAAGGTTATTGATTAAGTACTTAAACAGATTGTTAAGTTGTCATGCTTGCAACATAGATTCCGCATGTAACTGTCATGCATTCAGGTTTTTCTCCTCTCCATACCTTCTCGAATTGTTGCTTTGGTCGACCTGATACTTTGTAATAGCAGTTTTATCACATGACACCATAAAATGCAACAAAAATGAGATGATTTTACTTTTTACAACACAATACAATACAAGACATATGATGTACATGAAAAAAATTTAAGCTAAGAAACAAATCGTTCAATCAAGTCAGCTTCATCCATGTCAAAGTAATACAGAAACCAAAGAAGGCTTTCAGCCATTTTTGTTCCCTGAATACCATATAAGAAAAATCAAAATGAAATCTTAACTAAATATGAATCACTTTACTTTTTTGTTTTAGTAGCAGTAGGATAAGTTTGTTGGTATTGGTTTTGGTCCAGTGTGAGGTTACATTTGCTATCCAATGCGTTCACACATCAGTCTTTTAAAAGTAAAAATGACATCAAAAGACTTTTAAACGACCAAGGGCATAATAGTCATTAAATAAGTTAAAAAATAGAGAAATATATTGTGTTACTTACCCGAAGGTGTGTCATTTGTTGCCTTTTCACAGACTTTAATTTCTTGTCCTTTTCCTGTAACCATTCCAACTAATTTCTTAGATTCACTGATAAGATAATCTTTAAAAACGTGATTAATAGTAAAAAGTACACGACCTTCATTTTTTTTTTATAAAAAACTAAAGTGCGTTGTCATTTTTCGTAATAAAAAAATATTGTAATAGCCAAAAATAGAATAGTTTATGAGTTGTGTACTTTTTACTATGAAAAAAATACGAACCTAAAAAACAAAGTAAAAGCCAAAACGATGCCAAAAGACTTTTAAATGACCAGGGGCATAATGGTCAATAACCAGCCTGCGCTACTTTGCCTTGATAGTTCCAATCATGCAAGAAGCTTCTTATGCTCTGATCTTGCTAAAAATTTGTCATATTCCTCCTCATTTATTTCATTAACATCAAGTTGTAAGAACCACGTGCTATCTGTTGTTCAAATCCAGCTAGACAACATTCAAACTTGTTAGATATTAAATCGTTTATAATTACCTTATATAAAGTAGCAAGTGAGGCAGGACCCATATTTATATCCCATAGTTGCCCACACATAATTAAAAATAAAATATTTTAAAAAATCTTTATGGAAAAAAATATGCAAATGAAATATTTTAAAATAAGCACCTTAAACTAAAAATCACTTGAGACTCCTTATGCTCATACCAATGTGCGGGTTCCAGAATTGCTTCTATACTCTTAAGTAATATTAGAAACCACAAACGATTCCCGAAAGATTCCTAAAAGTTGTCCAGTTATATCTAAAAAACTCCAGATCATGAACAGAAGAAATACAAAAAAAAAGGTAATCAGGTCTAGCAAATTCACTGAAACTGAATATCAATTCTTCTTATCAACAGCTCCTTCAGCCGTTGGCCAGGTTGACCATGCCTTAGGCTAGCCTGACAATGGAGAAAACCTGGGCGGCAAATCAATAGTGGAGAAGCGGATTTCTTGGCGAGAGAGAGACAGAGAGAGAAAGAAGGAAGTAGTAAGGCGGTGGGGTGCAGATCATGATGCCTTCCTCTTTGCTCTGTTATTATTATAAGAATCAAAACACATGTCATCAATACAAAAAGTTGATGTTTTGGCATCAAGAATTCAATATTATAATAATGTAGATGAATCAAAATACGTGTAATAGACCTTCACCTCCACGTACACATGGAACAGCAGCATTCTTCATGGTATCTCTAGCAGTTGCTTTGTCCCGCATCACACGAATGTTGTCAGGCTGCAAACATGCATTAATTATAGCATATTAAACAATCTAGATAATAGTAATAGTAATAATAAGTTACTTACATTTGGGCCAATGAAGTTGATTCCATGTCCTCTACACATCTCAACAAAAAACAACATTCTCAGCAAGGAAACCATAACCAGGATGCAACATGGTACATCCATGACTGATATTACTATATTAGGCATAAACCTTTGAAATGCTTCAGCTGTATTGAGATCACAAACAACTTTTTTTGCATCAACATTCCATGCTTTACCCCTCGATCAACAGTGCCTATGAGAAGCTGTGTTAAAATGGACAATTAAATGTGGGACCATTACTTAATGGTTGCAAACATTCACACATGAACAACAACTTCTGAAGCTGACGTTGAAAAACTTAAGAGAGCTGTAATTCAAAATTTTGTAATAAACACATGAAAAACATGATCTTTAGTTATTCTCAAACCTTAAAGATTAGAAACTTCTTGTTGTCCAAATCAACTGCTTTCCCTTTAACTTTCTTAAATTTAGAAACAAATTCAGCAGTAAGTATCTAAGAATGACAAATTCAAGAAATTAAAGTAAAGAAATGGCTTATCGGATGGGGAATTAACCTGATCATCAACAATTTAGCATCCTTTGTCGCATAGATCAAATTGAATTTCACTTTCTCTATAAATGCATTGACATGACCTGCAGTTAACACAAAAAGCAAACCATCTTTCAGTTTTTTCATTTTCATTTCACAACCAAAAAGCAGTATCATCATAAAGACGGTGAAAAAGTTTTCATGACCAAAACTAAGCTTACGTTGAATAACAGACTGCAAAAAAATTTAGAAACATGGTTCAAGAATTTTATCGAGCAGTTGGTGTGCATCATTAAAGTCTCTTTCAAATCTGAAAATCATGTGGCTCTGTATAGCTAAATCGTCTTCCTGGGTATGACCGAAGCCAGTCACCTGCCCTGATATTGTCTGCGTCTTTTCATATTCTTCACGCCCACACAACAGGTGTGATAAACTCTTCCTGCTTTGACCTTGATTCAAATGAAACTCTTTAAAGATCTATCCTTTTTCGGTTTAAACAGAGTGTTGAAGTATGGATAGGAGAACTTACCTCGATATTTGATACGTTTACTGTGATATTGCTTGGGCAATTTCCATCCATCACCGCTGCACCCTCCGTTGGTCGGCACCGTAACCATCGGCGGCTGCACTCATATGTTTTTTTGTTCCCGTGACATAGAGGTATCGATTTTGCCCTCTGTGTTACATGTTTTTCAATTTGAAACATGAAGAAATCGAAAAAAAACAAAACCAAAAATGAATAGAATGGAATAAGAATTCAGTCTTTATAATTAAATTAAAATATTCAGGTGAAATACGAAATTGAGTTTTTCTACGATCTCACCTTGGTCTAATCGGAAGCGAAGCGGCGGAGCCAAGAAGAAAGAGCTTTGGAATAAGAATGGATTTAATCGAAGGAGAAAGATAATGATTGATGTCCATGGCTGTGCAACATCTGATTGGGTGGGAGAAGCGGTGGAAGGAGCAACCGACTCAAAACATTGACGGTCAAAAAGCAGGGATGAACATAGTCAAGGGACTAAAGCTTAAAAAAATCTAAATAAGGTTGCAAAAGTTACAATATAGAAAAGCTATGCGGCCAAAATGTGGAAAAGCGAAAGTTATGTGGCAAAAGTAGTAAAACCAAAAAAGAAACTCTATATAAGGCTCCCGGAAATTAAGTATATATATAATAAGTCAAAAGAGAATGAAGGTACCAACAATTAAACACCGAACCTCAAAAAAACATCAAAAATAAAATTTTAGTATAAAGCTTGCAAGTAGGGTGATATAATAAACAAGTCAATAAAACTATATTGTTATTTTTTTCTTTTACTTTTGACAGGAAAAATGTATAAATGAATAAATAGAAAAGAAATTTTATTTATCTATTTTATTGTACATTTAAACTATAATGCATTAGTTAAAAAAATGTATAAATAGAAAATAAAAAAAGTTTTTTAAGCAGTCAAAAAAGAACACTCGAGTTTCTTTAAAAAAATTTAAAAATGATATAGATGAAGGGGTTATGGACCAAACAACACATGTTCAAAAGAATCTCATGAAATAATATAGCACTTTAATAAAATTGGAAGGGTCATAAGAATGAAAATTCATCTGAATCTTGTTGGTGATTTTAGTGTCACCATGTCATTTTAAGTAACCGGAACTAACATGTGAGCTAAGGGGCTTCATAATTTGTACTCTATTATATGTACGGGATTGTGCGGAGTGCACACATGTATAAGATCGAATTAGAAGCCGGTTTGACGACTAGTTGGGGGTCCGGGGTTTCCAAAGGGGCAGCGCCCCTTTGGCGGGGTCTAGGGGCAGCGCCCCTAGCAGGGTCCAAGGGGCAGAGCCCCTGGCTGGGGTCCCGCTGACCTGGTAAAACTAACGAAACTCAATTTCTTGAGGGTGTTTATGGTAAAACTAACGAAACTCGTTAGTTTTGGTAACCCTAAATCCTCATTAAATCCGGATTAACATTACTTGCTTCCAAAGCAACTAATGACGGCCCAACCTAAAAAGACCCTAATATCGTTTATTATATAAACAGCTCTTCTTTTCAGAAGAGGGGGACTATCTTAAGCTCTCGTTTTTCATCATACTTTCACAGAATCCTCTAGCATTTTGGCTTACGATTTTTGTGCCTAGAATCGTAAGTGTCCACTTGGATTATCCTAGGCTGAATTTCTTGTAACCCAGTCATAGGGTAGAAATATCAGTTCGGAAAGTGACATCACTATCCAAGTCGGTATCCAGATCTCCACCACAAACCCTAAATTCCCAATAATCGAACTCATATTTTCTGTTCCTGGAGATGGGTGACTCAATCCGCGAGATGACTACCAAGTTTGCCAAACTGGAGAAGTTCAAAGGTGTCGACTTCAAGCGTTGGAAGAAGAAGATGCACTTCATGCTGACTACTCTAAAAGCAGCATACGTGCTGACTACTCCAAGACCAGCAGAGCCTGCAGAAGGTGTTGTTGAGACGGATGAAGAGACAAGAAAGAGACAGAAGTGGGACAATGATGACTACATCTGCAAAGGTCACATTATGAACGGTATGTCTGATGCATTATTTGATATCCATAGTGAAGCCTTGTGTGCCAAGGAGTTGTGGGACACCCTTGAACTGAAATACATTACTGAGGATGCTTCTAGCAAGAAGTTTTTTGGTCAGTGACTTTAATAATTATAAGATGGAAGATTCAAGGTCTGTCACTGAACAGTACAATGAACTCCTTGGCATATACGGTCAGTTTAAACTGCACCGTATGAATATGGATGAATCCATTGTTGTGTCCACTATCATTGACAAACTGCCTCCGTCCTGGAAAGACTTCAAACATAACTTGAAACATCAAAAGGAGGAACTGTCATTGGTTCAACTTGCTAGTCACATTCGTATTGAAGAATCTCTTCGTGCGAAGGAAAGTGAGAAATCTGAAAAACCCAAAGGAAAAGTTGAACCTGGACAGCCCTCGGTTCATATGGTTGAAAACAAACCAAGGAACCAGAACCACAAAGGACATGGAAAACGTAAGCAAGAATATGTCCCAAGCAACTCCAACAAAAAGAGAAAGGCTCTGGTTTGTTGGAGGTGCAATCAAGTTGGGCATTGCAAGCATGATTATCGTGTGAATTTGGGAAACAATGGTGCTGGAAACAGTGGAGCCAATGGGAAAGTGAACGGGTCTTCGACCCAAGTTAAAGGAGGTCAGTTTTTGACTAACTTTGATAATTCTAATCAGAATTATGTTTATTATGTTTCATTTATACCTGAATCATTCTATGTGCAGGATGATGATGTTGCTTGGTGGATCGACTCCGGTGCAACGAACCATGTATGCAAGGATAAACGGATATTTGAAATATTAACTCCGCTTAAAGATGGGTCGGTGCTGAAAATGGGAGACGATTCTTTTATTCCTATTTGTGGTTTTGTCACACCCCCAAACCCTGGATGGCGGAAACGTTCAGGGGTGGAGGACTTCATGTATAGTATCACAACAACGAGTATAATAGTGCGCATAGTAAATACAACCATCATAAATATAATTGAAAAAGTTACACCATAGTATGAGTTTACATGTTTCAAAATCAATTACATTATGATGACAAAAATGTATAATTTGACGTATGGCGTCCCATCCTCAAAAGCAGTTGATTACCTGTTTCACTGGTTTCCTGAGAATACAAGTAGTTTTGAAAGAGTGTCAACAATTAAGTTGGTGAGTTCATAAGCTTTTGGGTGAAATGTTGGAAAAACCTTTACTGGTAAAATGTAATGTATACACAAGAAAAATCCAATATTTTCCTCATAAAATATTATGTAGTCTTAAATCCCAAGACTGAATGCATGAGTGTGTGTGTTCGTAATTTAAACGAAGAATGCAGTTTTAAATAGATAAAACCCCTTTTTGTTTTCCTTTTTAAAGTAGAATTTCCCTGTAAAATTTAAATGATGTTAACTCCCTATGTGAGTTGCTATAACCATACTACAACCTGATGACCTGTTACAATGTTTTTCAGACGTTATAATTTGTTATGACTTTTGTCACCCGTAGACCTGCAGGTCCCACTGTAGCTAGAAGCAAGGTGTGGGGTGACAATCCCAATATACATCTATACACAATTATCACGCTCTCCCTACAAGAGATTCTGGCTATAACTTACAGGGATTTTTAACCCGTACTCTAAGAATACATTTGAAGTATTATCTCACAACTTACGTTAACGAGTTTACATGTAGTGTTTGAGTAAAAACCTTTTCTGTGGTGGGAGTGAAATCCCGCTTTGTGTACCGAATTAGTGATGTGAATTTCCTAAACCATACCTATTATAGTTTATCATGTAGTAGTTGAAAATCCGATAGTATTGAGGTGAGACCCTTCATGTGTATGTAATAGTTTAACCAATGCATAACTATACCTATTTTGTTTCATCTTGCATTATTTGTAATTACAAAGGACCCTCATACTTGATAGAGTATTTTCTGTTATATAAACATATCACAACAGATGAACACATGCAAAATACAAAGTCATCAAGGTTACACTTTGCTCAACATGTTACAAAGTGCTATGAATATTGTAAGTTGTTAACTTGTTTTTAACTTTTCTACACTGTTTTAGAAAAATCATAGAAAAAGCATACGAAGTCAAAAACTGAATCCGTAAACTCTGAGAGTTTAGAAAATGTGTCTAACTTGTGTGAAAATGTTCATATTCACAGACTGGTCCGAACTCGTTTTTGAAATGATAGGCAGTTTTGTAAAAATCACCATAAATCGTAGAAAAATCATATGGAGATGTGCAAGTAGTCATTTTAAAGGTAGGAACCTAAAATATTTGCATATTAAACAGTTTTGAAAGATATTAAGTTTAAGATGGTCAAAACAGTCCGTGAATGGAACCAAACTTTCCTGTTGAAAGCTGATGTTTGAGTTTAGTTAAGTTCTTGGTATTTTAACTTGTATTCTCCCCCTAAAACTTGAAGAAAACATGAAAATGTGGGGGTATGAACTCACCTTGAGTTATTCCCTGAGATGAAGGTGGAAGAAGAAAGGTTTCCAAGTCAAGAACACTTGTGAGATACTTGAAGATTCGAAGATCCTAAGCACAAATATGACGATATTTGTATAAGAGATTCATGATTTGAGTGAAGGAGTGTAGAGTATTCAAATGTAGGATGAATATACTTACCAAGACTGAAGTGAAAAGCTCAAGAACAGCGTTGAAATCTTGAGTTCTAGAGAGGGAAAGTGAGAGAGAGAGAGAGAGGTGTTTCCTCTTTGGTGAGAGAGAGTGAGTAAAGTGGAAGGAGAGAGGAGATTTTTCTGCTTTTGATGAACCTTTGCAGCTGGAGGAGGGGTGTCAAAGGACAAATAATCGACTAGTTAGGGTGGAATAGTGACTGAGGGTTGTCCTATGAAGGTATGGGTGTTAACTTGTGTCATACTCTAGCTAAAGTCAACACTCCACCACCATATCTTTCCTAAAAGAGATTGTACTTAGTTTAGGACCCCCCCCCCTCCTCAAAATGTGATTAATATATGATAATATAGGGTCCCTTAAGTCAAAACACGTGTTTGGGTGAAAATCTCGCGTTAAAATCACGAAAAACAGGCTTAAAACGGAGTTGGGGTCGAAAACCGGGAAGAAAATGAAAAATTCTGAAGTCTGGCTGAAGATTTGGTCCTTAGAGGGTCAGAACCGAAGGCTGGTTCGGTTGATGGATTAGAACCGAGAGGGGGGGCTCGGTCCGAGCAATCTCGCAGGCGAACCATGGAAGAGGGACCGAAGGTATACTGAACCGAAGGTGAGTTCGGCCCTATAAGAGGAGTTCGGTTCTAAGAGGTTTCGGGTATAGGAGGCTTCGGTTCCTTAAGGGAGGTTCGGTTCCTAAGAGGTTTCGGCTCCTTAAGAGGGTTCGGCTCCTTAAGAGGTTTCGGCTCTTTAAAGTTGTTTTTCGCATAAACTTCCGTTTTCGAGTTGTTTTCGGCTAAATCAAGGGTCGGGATGCCCCGAGTGATTATAAAAAGTTGAGAGAGATTTGGGAGAGATTTCACATACTTGGAGAGATTTCTCATACTTAGAGAGATTTGGGAGAGATTTCACATACTTGGAGAGATTTTTCATACTTAGAGAGATTTGGGAGAGATTTCACATACTTAGAGAGATTTGGGAGAGATTTCACATACTTAGAGAGATTTGGGAGAGATTTCACATACTTGGAGAGATTTGTCATACTTAGAGAGATTTGGGAGAGATTTCACATACTTGGAGAGATTTCTCATACTTAGAGAGATTTGGGAGAGATTTCACATACTTAGAGAGATTTGGGAGAGATTTCACATCTTGGAGAGATTTGGAAGAGATACTTCGTTTGAGACCTTTTTGGATGTTTAGCTTCGCTATGCAAGGTGTGTAAACCTCGTCCAGCCTCGTTATGAATGTTATACGCTCCCGAAGGGTACAGAATAGTGTTTTACCAAGTAGTCCCATCACTTACCCTAATTGGGGTTTGAGAATTCTAAACATATGAGTTTTTCAAGTGATAACTTCTTATTAAAATAGCGAGTTGTACAGTAATAACATGATGTAAACCCTAATATACAAGGTTAATTGAGTTAACCGGCTTGACTTGTTGACTTTATTTGACTTTGACTTGACCAGAATTTGATGGTTGTCACATCATCCCCCGTTAGAAGGAATTTCGTCTCGAAATTAGCGTTTTGACTGGGACTTCAAGAGTTGGGGAAAAGATGCGGGTATTTTCATTTCATTTGATCCTCGCATTCCCAGGTGAATTCTGGTCCTCGTTTTGCGTTCCAACGGACCTTCACAATAGGAATACGACTTTGTTTCGTCCTCTTAATCTCTCGATCCATGATTTCTACCGGTTCTTCTATGAAGTGGAGACTCTCGTTGACCCCGATTTCCTCGAGTGGGATCACAAGAGTCTCGTCAGACAGACACTTCTTTAAATTTGACACGTGGAAAGTCGGGTGTACGTTGTTAAGTTCTTGGGGTAGCCGAAGTTTGTATGCTACCGGGCCAATCCTGGCAAGGATTTCGAATGACCCGATGTATCTTGGGTTTAGCTTACCACGTTTACCAAAACGTATCATTCCTTTCCATGGTGAGACCTTTAGTAGCACCCGGTCCCCAACCTGGAATTCCAAGGGTTTGCATCGCTTATCGGCGTAGCTCTTTTGTCTATCTCAAGATGCTTTCAGTCTTTATCGAATTTGAACAATCTTTTCCGTAGTTTCCCTTATGATCTCAGGGCCAGTGAGGGTGCTGTTAGGGACTTGCCCTTTTGCTAACTGTGTATCTCCCACTTCAGCCCACCACAGTGGTGATCTGCACTTGCGGCCATAAAGAGCTTCAAATGGTGCGACCTTGATGCTAGTATGATAGCTGTTGTTGTATGAGAATTCAATAAGTGGTAAATGGGTATCCCAAGCTTTATCGAAGTCTATCACAGACGCTCTTAGCATATCTTCCAGGGTTTGAATAGTTCTTTCGCTCTTCCCGTCAGTTAGGGGATGGTAGGTTGTACTCATGTCTAGCCTGGTCCCTAGAGCTTTCTGTAAGGACTGCCAGAACCGCGAAGTGAATCTACTATCTCTGTCAGAGATAATGGATATCGGTACACCATGTAGTCGTACAACCTCTTTGATGTACGTCCTAGTCAACTTCTCCATCTTGTCGGTCTCCTTTATTGGCAGAAAATGTGCAGATTTAGTCAATCTATCGACGATCACCCAAATGGTATCAAGACCACCCGTTGTCTTAGGCAGTTTGGTTATGAAATCCATGGTTATTCATTCCCACTTCCATTTGGGTATCGCAGGTTGCTGAAGCAAACCCGAAGGCTTTTGGTACTCTACCTTAACCTTGGCACAAGTCAAACACTTGCTCACGTATGTAGTGATTTCGGCTTTTATGTTCGGCCACCAGTAAAGTTTCTTCAGGTCCAGGTACATCTTGTCTGAACCGGGATGTACGGAGTATCGTGTTTTGTGTGCTTCATTCAGGACGACGTCCCTGAACCCGCCGAATTTCGGTGTCCAAATTCGGTTAATCAGATAACGAGCTCCGTCGTCCTTGACTTCTAGATTCTTATCCATTCCTCTTAAAGCCTCACCTGCCACATTCTCAGGCTTCAAAGCTTCCAACTGGGCCTCTTTGATTTGCGTGGACATGTGCGAATGGATTGTCATCGTTAACGACTTTACTCGACGACCCGAGTATTCTTTTCGACTTAAGGCGTCAGCTACC